AAAAAAAAAAAAAAAAAAAAAAAAAAGATTGATTGATTAGTTGGTTCATTGATTGATTGATTGATTAATAATTAATTAATTGAGTGATTGGTTGATTGCCGGAATGATTGATTGTAAAATACAATAGAAAAACGAAAAGAAAAAAAAACAAAAATCCTTGATTGCTTGATTGATCGATTTGTTGCGTGGGGGTCGCCTTACCCCTGCGAACACATACACACACACACACACACACACACACATACACACATTCACACATACACACACACAAACACGCGCGGCCGTTTTTTTTTTTTTTTTTTTGATTGATTGATTGATATGTAGTGGAGGAATCGTCTTCCCCCGCGAACACAAACACACATACACACACACACACACACACACACACACACACTCACGCATGCCGTACAACTGCCCGTTTCTTTTTTCTAGTTTTTTTTCTTATTTTTGATTTTTTTAAAATCGTTTTAAAGCTAAAAAATAAAAATAAAAATATGAGGTTGTAGATGTTTTTGAGATCTACAACCCCATATTTTTTTGTTTTTTGTTTTTTTTTTATTTTTGCTTGTAAATCACCATCGTACGGTCGCTGCGCGTCTGCCGTCCATACAGACGAAACGTACGTTGACCCCCCGTACGACGTACAGGGGGCTACACTGCTCTTCTGAAAGGCGATTTTGAACCCTGAGTATCTCGGGGCCCCCAGGGGCCACTCCACCTGCTGAGCATGTCCGTGAAATAAATCAGAATATACCAACATTTCGTCCATGTACACAATGACACAAAAGTTAATCATGCCCTACATGAAATCGCCTTAATGAAGCAACTTCAAAAGCTGGAACAGCGACACTGTCCACAATCTGTGGAACAATACACAAAGGCTATCCAAGACGTTAAAAACAGATTACTCTTACAGACCAAATACTGTTGACAAGGAGCCAGAATTCGAGGCAAACTTTCTTATCATGCAACCGAAGGCACGATGGCTACAAAATCCTTTGGTCTCGCCCAAGCTAGGACCGAGCGCACAATCGTGGAAGCCCTGTACGACCCGACAAGGCCAGATGATCACCCCATCTTCACCACGGCGGGCTGTGTTAAAATCGCCCAAGATTTTTTCAAATATCTTTTTGCAACCCACATGTCGCTCGCTAATGAGAACACTCGCCGACCAGATTGAGGAATTTTTTCTGCCATTAAATAAAACCCTCTCTCGAGAACAAAGGGAAAGCCTCGAGGAAACCATAACCAAAAATGAGATTTGAACAGCATTGATGCAGATGGAAGAGGAGAAAACGTCGGGTCTGGATGGCCTACCAAAGGAGATTGGGGAGACAATGTGGGACCATATGAGCCCTGACCTCATGAACTTCCACGAGGAGGTATGGCGCACGGGTAGCATGGGAGAATTGGTGGGCTAGGGGGCCCTGTCCCTCCTCTATAAGAAGAATGACAAACTCAACATACGGAACTATCGTCCGATTACCCTCCTCACTGTCACACACAAGATGCTGGTTAAGGCCTTGGCCAACAGAATGATCCCCGTATTAGAAGGGTTAATCCACCCATCCCAAACAGGATTCATGCAACATTGGCGGATCCATGAGAACATTTTGTTGGTCCATAAGATCATGCATCTAGCTTGCCAGTCTGAGCAAAACGCAACACTCGTGTTCATCGACTTCGAAAAAGCCTATGACAATGTGGAGTGGCTATTTCCGGATAAAAGTTTGAAGAAAACGAACTTCGGGTCGACGTTTCATTGATGGGTAAGGATTTTACACCAAAATGTCACCAGAAGGATACAGATAAATGAGTCACTAGCACCCCCCACCAAATTTAATTTAGAAAGATCGGTGAGACAGGGCGATCCCATTGCACCCTTTCTCTCTCTCATCATCATGGAGACTTTGTCTGCCAATATTCGTACTAATAAGGACATCATCAAAAAATAGATAGTGCGGATCCCTGAAGAAGCCGTCCCAGTGTGCTCACTTTTTGCGGACGACCTCACCATCATGGTTGAAGTCACACGACACAATAATGAGGAAATAAAACAGCTAGTGGATAGATTCACGCAGGTATCTGATATGGTGATGAATTGGGGAAGTAAGACCCAAGGATAGTGGATTCACCATCAAGAGGGGCGTCCTCCTGACGCCCCCAACATACGATGGCTTCCTTTAGAGGCTCCTATCCGCATTCTAGGTCTACGTGTTCGAAATTCGATTCAACGGGGTTTTCCCGTTGAACCCCCGTTACTACGCCTCGCTACACCTCGTTAGAACACAGTACAACGAGGCCGACAATTTTTTTTTTCGCAGGTAAAAAAAAAAAAAAAAAAAAAAAGAACATGGGGGGGTGTAGATTTGTTTGCGCTCTACATCCCTATATTTTTATTGTTATTTTTTTAACATTTAACATTTAAATTACTAAAAAAAATTATAAACCTAACCAGACTCAAAACACATCGATTTTTTTTTTTTTTGATTGATTGATTGATTGATTGATTGATTGGTAGGGGATGGGTCGCCCCCCCCACCCCCACTTCCACCCAATCACACACAACACACACACACACACATACACACACACTCACACACACACACACACACACATACACACACACACACACACACACACACACACACACACACACACACACACACACACACACACTTGCGTCACGTTTGAAAGCGTTTTTTTTTCCATTTTTTTTCCTTTGATTGATTGATTGATCGATGGGGGATGGGTCTCCCCCTCCACCCCCACCCAATCACACACACACACATACACACACACACACAGGGTTGTAGAATAAGTTTTTTTTTTTTTATAAAAAAAAAAAGTCAAAATTAGAAAAAAAAAGGGCGTGTAGGGTTTCTCAAACACCACACGGCCATTTTTTTTTCATCCATTAAAAAAATTAAGAAAAAATTAAAAAAAACAACCCTAAAGCCTGTGTAGCATCGTGTTCGGGACCGAACGCGAACGAGCGCCGAAACTCTTCGAACGCGAACATTAAAAAAAAAAAAAAAAAAAAAAAGAATTCTCTAAAAAATCCGAAAACAATATATGTTATGTAAAAAAATAATACAAACAACGTTTGCCCTGAAGGTATGGTCAAATTCGTAACCAAACTCAAACTAAAAATAAAAAACCAATTTTGTTTTTTTTTTTTAATATGTTCGGCCGAACACGTTCGGGTGGCGTTCGGCCAAACACCCGAATACATTCGAACGTTCGGAAAAGCTCTGAACATGTTCGGTGTGCTACACAGTTGAAGCCCATATTTTTTTTCAACGGGGATTCAACGAGGATTCAATAGGGATTCAACGGGATTCAACGGATTCAACGGGGATTCAATGGGGATTCGACGGGGATTCAATGAGAATTCAACGGGGATTCAACGGGATTCAACGAGATGACAATTTTTTTTTGCTCCAGTCACGTCCAACGACGTGTCCAAAGGCTCAATGCGCCCTCCCTGTTGAACAGTATTCAACGGGAAGGGTCTATTGTACTTTTGAACGAGGATTCAACGGGGACCGGGGGCTATTCAACGGGTACAACAATGTTGAAACTTTTCCGTTGCACGTTGAATAGACACAGTTCTAGGTATCTACATGTCCGCTATGGGGCGCCCTCCAGCTAACAATGATTGGTCAACGCACCAGCATTGGCTAAGTTATCTGCCTGGCGAAATAAGCACACTTTGATTTTCGATCGGGCTTTAGTCATAAGAAACATGGTGTTTGCTTCACTGTGGTACAAATCAGTGCTCAGGCCTCTGAGCAAGGCTGCATTTCGAGCCCTTAGAGCCAAGCTTACTGCTTTCTTGTGGCGAGGCAATGATAAACGGGAAAATGTAATTAGTAGGGTGGCGTGGGACTCGGT